CATCCTGAAGATTTTCTATGCTTTTTACTAGAAGTTGTATTTTATATTTAAGCCTATGATCCATTTTGAGTTAATTTTTGTGTTTAAGTTGTGAAATTTAGGGAAAGATTCAGTTTTTGCCTACAAATGTCCAACTGCTCCAGCACCATTTGTTAAAAGGCTATCCTATCCTTTCTCCACTGAATTGCTTGTGAACCTCTGTCAAGAATCAGCTGGGCATATATGTGTGGATCTGTTTTTCATGACTTTGCTCCCCTGATCTCTGTGTCAGTCCCTCTGCAGGTACCACACTGTCTTGATTGTGATAGCAGTATGATCTACCTTGAAATCAGGCAGGCTGACTCCTCTCATTTTCTTCTTTTTCAAAATTATTTTTAGCTATTCTACTTATTTTGCCTCTCCATTTAAAGAATAGCTTGAAATTTAAGATCGTGCCACTGCACTTTAAGAATAGTCTTGTTTATACCTACAAAAAGTTCTTGCTGAAATTTTGGTAGGAACTGTAAAATTCACTTTTAATAGTTACAAGCTATTCAAATTATTTCACATTGGATGGCTCGTAGTAGTAGTTTGTGCTTTTCAAGGAGTTGATCCATTTATATCAACTTAGGGATAACTAACATACTAACTAGGTTGAAACTTCAATCCATGAATACAGTATGTCTCTCCATTTATTCAGACCTTTGATTTCTTTAATCAGTGTTGTATAGTTTTCAGCATACAAATCTTATTCATGTTTTGTAAGATTTATATTCGTGTTTCATTTTTTAAGTGATTGTAAATGGTATTGATTTAATTTTGATATCCACGTATTTATTGTTCGTACACATATCTTGTTTGTCTGAGTTTTTTTTGTTTTTTTTTGTTTTTTTTTTTGAGTGGAGTCTCACTCTGTCGCCCAGGCTGGAGTGCAGTGGCACGATCTCGGCTCACTGCAAGCTCCGCCTCCTGGGTTCACACCATTCTCCTGCCTCAGCTTCCCAAGTAGCTGGGACTATAGGCACCCACCACCAAGCCTGGCTAATTTTTTGTATTTTTAGTAGAGACGAGGTTTCACTGTGTTAGCCAGGATGGTCTCGACCTCCTGACCCTGTGATCCACCCGCCTCAGCCTGCCAAAGTGCTGGGATTACAGGCGTGAGCCACTGTGCCCGGCCCCGTTTGTCTGAGTTTTAATCAAGAATGGGTGCTGAATTTTGTCAAATAAACTTTCTGCCATTGATTGATATAATCACGTGATTTTTCTTCTTTAGCTTGTTAATATGATGGATTACATTTTCTTTTTTTTTTTTAAGCTGTGATTTTTCTTTTGTTTCTGCAAATATATGGTATTATTAAGCAATTCATCTAACTTCTCATTTATGGAAATCAATACAAAAGTTTCAAGGTGATTCAAGTTCCCATGCACATTAGGAGGGCCTGAATGGAAACCAGGTACTGATTTTTCAACTGAACCTGCACAAACTACTCTAAAGAAATTGCTCTAGCAACTATCACTTCTAGTTGCACCTAGCAGCTAGAACAATAGTACAGCAAGTGTTCAACAAACATTTGTTGAATAAGTTAATGTCAGATAGAAAGAAAAGACTAGACATATGTAAAGGTATCTGATAAGATACAAATATTGATACAGCAAGAACATAAAGACAGGCCACAAATAATTTCACCAATTTCAAATTATACTTTTAGAACAGCACTATCCAAACTAGTTTTGTAAAACCAAGAGGTTTTTCTTGTTATCTTAGGGATCGGTCAGAGTTTAGTTATGAAATCTTCAAAACAAAATTTTAATAACTTTTGAATTAAAAATCAAATTATATAGGGTATACTTAAGAGATCGAAGGAAGGAAGGAAGGAAGGAAGGAAGGAAGGAAGAAAGGAAGGAAAATAAGAATCACTATAACAATCACAAAGTATTATGGTTCTAAGAAAATTTGGAAATAATTACATTTTCCATAGTAATTTGCCATATGAGGCCACTAATGTCCCTTCCCTACCCTCTAGAAAATGATAATTCTCTCCATAAACTAGTAGAAAATGTTTGGAGGTTCTGTGATGTAGTCTAATTCTACTGAACATAAAAAGACAGCCCAGTCAAATTGGGCTAAATCTTGAGGACCGTAAGTATAGTTTATGCTGTAGGGAAGTCAAAAGTCAAGATGGCGAACTTACACAATTGGGTTTTCCCTCCTTTGAATCTCATCCTGGAGATGCCTCAAAAGCAAGTGGGCTATTGATGGAACTCAGAATGTAATATAAAAACTATAGGCCGGGCGCGGTGGCTCAAGCCTGTAATCTCAGCACTTTGGGAGGCCGAGGCGGGTGGATCACGAGGTCAGGAGATCGAGACTATCCTGGCTAACATGGTGAAACCCCGTCTCTACTAAAAATACAAAAAACTAGCCGGGCGTGGTGGCGGGCGCCTGTAGTCCCAGCTACTTGGGAGGCTGAGGCGGGAGAATGGCGTGAATCCAGGAGGCGGAGCTTGCAGGCTTGCAGTGAGCCGAGATCACGCCACTGCACTCCAGCCTGGGAGACACAGCGAGACTCCGTCTCAAAAAAAAAAAAACTATAGCTGGGCCGGGCATGGTAGCTTACGCCTGTAATCCCAGCACCTTGGGAAGTCGAGGCGGGAGGATCACAAGGTCAAGAGATCGAGACCACCCTGACCAATACGGTGAAACCCCGTCTCTACTAAAAATATAAAAAAATTAGCTGGGTGTGGTGGGCCTCTGCAGTCCCAGCCAGTCAGGAGGCTGAAGCAGGAGAATGGCATGAACACGGGAGGTGGAGCTTGCAGTCAGCGGGGCCTGCGCCACTGCACTCCAGCCTGGGCGACAGAGCGAGACTCCGTCCCAAAACAAAACAAAACAAAACAAAAAACTATAGCTGATACTCTGGAGGGAATGGAAAAAATAAACAGAGATCTGTGGAATACAGACCTAAGCACTGGAAACGCGTATCACAAACTAAACAACTAATTAAACAAGAATTTACAATAATCCTAATAAATATTCTCAAGGGCATGTAGGAGGGCACTGGAAACAAATAGGGACCAGGAGTTATAAAAAAGGACCAATCAGATATAGTAGAAACAAACAATTTAATTCAGGGTTGAATGAATACAGTTGATGAATGAATTCATAAGATGGAGAGTGGTTTGAAACATTCCCAGAAAGCATCGGGAAGAGTAAAGAACAGGAAAAATGAGAGAAGGGCATGAAAAATAAAATAAATAAAATATCAACATGTGATTAATGGGAGCCCTAGAAGGAAAGAAAAAAATAAAGTTAAATATTTGAAGAACTGTTAATTAAAATTTCTCCACAATTTTTTTTTTGGGGGGATGGAGTCTTGCCCCATCACCCAGGCTAGAGTGCACTGGTGCAATCCCAGCTCACTGCAACCTCTGCCTCCTTGGGTTCAAGTGATTCTCCTGCCGATGGATTACATTTTCAAGTATCAAACCAGCCTTGCATCCTTAGAATAAACTCCACTTGTTCATGGTGTATAATTCTTTTTTGTTGTTTATTCTCACAGCCACAGTAGGTATAATTCTTTTTCTATATTGCTGAATATGTTACCTAATATTTTCCTAAGGAATTTTATGTTTGTATTGGTGTCTGTTATTTCTTTTAATTTTGCACTGTTTTTTGTTTGGTTTTGATATCAGGGCAATACTGCCCTTACAAAACAAATCAGAAAATATTCCCAGCCAAGTGCAGTGGTTCAGGCCTATATTCCCAGGACTTTGGGAGGCTGAGGTGGGAGGACTGCTTGAGTCTAGGAGTTCAAGACAGCCTGGTCAACACAGTGAGACTTCATCTCTACAAATTGGAAGGGCTGCTTGAGCTTGGAAGGTCGAGGCTGCAGTGAGCCAAGACGATGCCACTGCACTCTAACCTGGGCAACAGAGAGAGATCCTATCCCAAGAAGAAAAAAAAAAAAAAGAAGAAGAAGAGAAAAGAGAAGAGGGGAGGGGGAGAGGGGAGAGGGGAGAAGAGAAGAGTTCCCTCCCTTTCTGTTTTTCTGGAAGAGTATGTAGAATTGACGTTAATTCTTTAAATGTTTGATAGAATTCTCCAGTGAAACCATTTGGGTCTGAAGATTTTTTTAAATGGGAGTTTTCAAATTAGATACTGAATTTCTTTAATAATTATAGGGGTATTCAAATGATCTATTTCATATTGGATGCCTGTGGGAGGAGTTTGTGCTTTTCAAGGAATTGGTCTATTTTTTGGCCCACTGTTTGTGTGTGGAGTTGCTTGTGTTCTCTCATTATCCTTTTGATTCTCAGGGTCTCTCAGAACTTGAAGAATGTTGTGCCACTGGTCCTCACAATGCGTAACAAGAAATCTGCTGTCTTTCCATTTTCCCCTATGAGTAAAGTGTTTCTTTCTTGCCACTTTCAAGATTTTTTGTTGTTGTCTTTACTTTTCAGAAATTCTACTATGATGGACTTCAGTAGTGGATTTCTTCATCTTGTTTGGCATTTGCTCAGCTTTCTGAATCTTTTAAGTTTGTCCTTTGCCAAACGTTTCAACCTGTAAGATCTTTGAAAAGCTTTTCAGCCCTTCCCTCTTTCTCCTCTCTTTTCAGGACTTCAACAATACAAATGTTAGAAAATTTAACCTAGACCCTCAGAAGGGAAGGGAACGGCACCTTTTTTTTTTTTTTTTTTGAGATAGAGTCTCATTCTGTTACCCAGGCTGGAGTGCAGTGGTGAGATCTCGGCTCACTGCAACCTCCACCTTCTGGAGTCAAGCAATAGTCCTGTCTCAGCCTCCTGAGATCATAGGCATGTGCCACCACAACCAGCTAATTTTTCTATTTTTAGGAGAGATGGGGTTTCACCACGTTGGTCAGGCTGGTCTTGAACTCCTGACCTCGTGATCCGTCCGCTTCGGCCTCCCAAAGTGCTGGGATTACAGGCATGGGCCACGGCTCTCGGCAACACCACCTTTTTACCACCGAGTAGGGGTCAAAGGTCGGATTCCCTACTTGCCGTCCTGCGTGGAGGGCTCCTTCCTCGTTACTGCTGGGTACGATAAGAGTTCTGGTTCCCCATGTGGCTTCCACTGATTCTTCCCACTGGTTGGGAGGAAAAGGAGGGCCTCATTACTGCCCCACCCAATGTGGTCTCCACTAACACTCCAGAACCACACAAGGTTCCTTAGGGGTTTGTTACTGCCCAACAGGGATAAAAGTCCATGGTCCCTCCCTATTCAACTTTCTCTGGAGGAGTAAGTGGCTCTCACTTAGCCTTTGCTAGCAGGCACAGAGGTAGGACCACAGTTCTTTCTGTCATGTTTGGTTGGCACTGAGCAGTTATCTAAATATTTTCTGTCTTGTGCTAGGCTGCCCCTTTCCTGGTCCTTTGGTCAGAAGGAGCTGACTTTTGCAGGGGGTTCTGTCTGTACCTGTTGGTGTTTCCAGGTTGCCAGCTTCTTCAGCTCATAGTCTGGGCTACATGAGGCAAAAAGACAACCTGAAGAAATCACTACTGGGTCGTTTTCTGGGTCCTGGGTGGTCTGCCTTCTCTCTACCTTTCAGAGTGTCCTTATGTTACTGCATCTAGTGTCCAAGAATTTTAGATTTTAGGTGCACTTAACTAGAAGAATAGGGAAAAGAATGTCTACTTCATCTTCCCAGAAACAGGAGTCTCCAACCTTTAAGTTTTCATTTTTAATGATTTATTATCAATTCCTCCACATCTCCATTTGCTTTGTTTTCTATGTACTATTCTATTTCTTCAACAACTTCTCAATACGTTATTCTACCCAAACATATAGTCTATACTTACTTATCCCAGAGCTTCTGTGGCCTGTTTCTTATTTTCCTAGGACTTTGCTTTCCTGTTATCCTGGGAATTATCTTTGTTCCTTTCCCTGGCAGACCCCTTGGGCTGTGAATCCATGTTTTCCTCTTCTTAGTTTGCCCTTGTGTTTTGTTTGATTTTGTTTCTGAAGACTGTGTCTCATGCTGTTGCCCAGGCTGGAGTACAGTGGCACCATCTTGGCTCACTGCAACCTCCGCCTCCCGGGTTCAAGCGATTCTCGTACCTCAGCCTCCCAAGTAGCTGGAATTACAGGCATGTGCCACCACACCCGGCTAATTTTTCTGGCATTTTAAATAGAGACAGGGTTTCGCCATGTTGGCCAGGCTGGTCTCAAACTCCTGGCCTCATCTGATCTGCCCCACCCTTGGCCTCCTAAAGTGCTGGGATTACAAGCGTGAGCCACCTCGCCCAGCCTCCCCTTATATTTTGATGCAGCACATCCTCTGGTAATTTCTAAGAACCAGCTTCTGTGAGTTGAGGTTTTAGAGACCTGTCTAGTCATCATGACAGGATCCTTTCAATGGGGGGAGTCATGTCCATCAGTCAATTCTTCAAAATATTCTTCCTTTACTGTCTTAATAACTTCTCCTCACTCTTCCCTTCATTCTTTATTCCTGGGAGTCAGATGTTGGACTTCCTGAATTGATCATCTAATTTCATTTCTCTGTCTCATCTTTTGTTTATTAACCTTCTTTGTCTTTTGAATATTCTTTCTGGGACTTTTTTTTACTTTTACCTTTCAACACCTCTACTGAATTTTTTAAAGATACATAAATAACATAGTTGTTTTGCTTTTTTTTTTTTTTTTTTGACACAGAGTCTTACTCTTTCACCCAAGCTGGAATGCAGTGGTATGATCTTGGCTCACTGCAACCTCCGCCTCCCAGGTGCAAGTGATTCTCCTGCCTCAGCCTCCCAAGTACCTGGTATTACAGGTGCCTGCCACCACACCCAACTAATTTTTGTATTTTTAGTAGACATGGGATTTCTCCATGTTGGCCAGACTGGTCTCGAACTCCTGACCTCAAGTGATCCGCACACCTCGGCCTCCTAAAGTGCTGGGATTACAGGCGTGAGCCACCGCACCCGGCCTAATTAACACAGTTTTAATTCCAGAAGCTCTTCCTCTCACCTTTTATTTATTTAAAGGTAGAATCCTGTTGTCACTGTCAACAATATTTCCTCTTATCTTTCTGAAAATATTATATACTTTTAAATTTCTTCCCCTATTTTCTGCATTGTTGCTGTTTATTCATGTTTATTTTGTGTATTTGTCTTGAGTTCTGCCTTGAGGTTGAAAGTTGTCCTCAAATGTGTACTTATACTCAGCTGCCTATGTTTGAAATGAGGCTCCAAAAAGCTGACAGACGCCGGATGCCTGGCGGGCGTCCTGACTGTTGGAGTTTATTCAGGCTTGGGTGGGTAACCCCAAGGGCCAGTATGGGCTGCTCAACTTCTCCAGTGAGCACCCTTCCAAGAATTCCTTTGTTGGAAAGGTCTGGGTTGAAGGCATTCTAGAAGCTTGAAAGAAAAAGGAGTTGGGAATTCTCTCCATTCCACATACAGGCTTTGACTTGACTTCCTTATCTTCTGTGTTGGTCTCTCCCCACCTGCCCCTGTATCAGGTTTCTGTATGTCCAAAGCCCCATCTTCCAGTGGGTGGGGGTGAGTTAATCATCTGGCTGGGCCAGGTGAGAGTGGAAATCCCTCCCATGGACATCTGCACTGCCCCATGCCCCTCCTGAGCCCCCTGGACTCCGTATCCTCTGCAGGAACTCGGGTCTGGCTGCGTTAGCTCTAACTCAGTTATCTCACCCTCAGCAGTTTTCTTCTTCCATGTTTATGGACCACCTCATCCACTGTTGTCTCCTTTCCTATTCCCTCTGACCTCATGGCTTTATACCTTTTTATTCATTTAGTTTCATTTTAGGGGAGGGATTAAAAATCAACTTATGCACATCACATGGTTTATGCACAGTATTTTGGCCTCAGGCCAAATGAGACCCAATGATGAGTCTCAAACACATGCTCTGAATTCTAGGCAGTGACTGTTAGACCTGCAAGGTCATGGCCTTGACCAGGTAACTCTTTTCAACTGCAAACTACAGGAGATGTGAGTTTTCTCCCAGCTCTTGAACCCTCTTTATGGTGGAGCAGCACATACTACCCACACAGCCAAGTCTTCAAGAGAAAGAAGGTGGCATTGCTACTACAAAAAAAAACAAACTGGGGTCAGCAGACAGAATCTGGGTTTTCAGTTATTCAATTATTAAATTTATTACCATGGACAAGACAATGGGTAGAATAATCAACTACTAAGGTGTTTGTGTGGCTGTGTCTTATAAACTCAAGAGTGTCTGGTGGATACAAGCATGACCGTCACTGTCGTTTGGCAGGCATATCCTGTGGCCCATGACGACTTACCTTTACCTCCTTCTCAATATAGTCGCTCAGCAGTCTGTCTGGCTCGACGCGCTCAGGCAATGACAACACCACAGTGTGCAGAGGGCGCCTCTCTGTCACCTTCTCATGGGCTTTCTTATCTCTACTCTTTTCACCTTTTAGGAATACTCGTTTAAATGGCGAGACAATTCCAGGCTGCAGGCAGAAATGGCAATGATTGGAGTTCATTATTTACAAATGCTTTGTGTTGTACCTATGGTTAACAAACAGAAGTAGCCAAAACTACTACCATGGTCCCCATGCAACAGGGATCAGGGATCACTGACTGCCAGACTGGTGAGAAAGGTACCAACAGCACACAAGCCTGAGGGACCCCAGCCAACACGCAGGCCGGCAGGGTGCGGCTGGGCTGCCATGCAGCCTCTGGCGTGGAGGGGCCCTGTTCTTCACCTGTTCGTACAACACACAGAAGGCAGGTAACCTTATCTGGCAAGACAATGACAGAAGGGGGAGATTCCCCACAGAAGATAAAACATAACATCATTCCAACTCTTTCCGGTTCAGCTGGACCCTTCATCTCTGAGAACTCCGGGAAGGCAGGTGGAAGGTGTGGTCAGTGCTGGCATCAACAAGTGAAGCATCTCAACAGCCAAGGCTGAGCACATTCTACAGAAGCACATTTCTTAATGGCTTAATGGGGCACATGTTTTTAATGCAATTCCTTCCCCAATGGGGACCTCATGACTCCAAGTGGGGACACTGAGCGTGATGAGCTCCAATGCAGATCAACAAGGGAGAAACCAGGCCGGGCACGGTGGCTCATGCCTGTAATCCCAGCACTTTGGGAGGCTGAGGGAGGCACATCACTTAAGGTCAGGAGTTCGAGACCAGCCTGGCCAACATGATGAAACCCTGTCTCTACTAAAAATACAAAAATTAGCCAGGTGTGGTGGCACATGTCTGTAATCCCAGCTTCTCGGGTGGCTGAGACAGAAGAATTGCTTGAACCCGGGAGGCGAAGGTTGCAGTGAGCCGAGATGCCACTGCACTCCAGCCTGGGCAACAGAGCCAGATACTGTCTCAAAAAAAAAAAAAAAAGAAAAGTTGCGGGGGAGAAGCTCTGATCAGCAGCTGGCCAGCCCCTAACTTTGATGACCTCACACCCTATCCAGCATCTCATGAGGGTTCTGAAGGCTAATCCTGCAATCAAAGTCACCTTAAAGCGTGAGAATGAGTGAGAGAGCAAGAGAGGATTACAGCAAGCCTCACCTGCACAACCCAGGAAAAGACCTGACACTTCCTTCACAGTAACTCCATAAGAAAGCTTTTCATTACCACCTTTGACAATGGTGCCGGGTTGGGGGGCTGGGGGCGAAGCAAACCCAAATCGTGCTGAGAGATCATGCTACAATCCCCATCTACAGTCACCCAAAGGAACATAAACCTGAGAAAACGAGACATTGATGTGCAGCCGCAGCAAGGAAACAACACACAGGCCTGCAAAAACCAGGGCCGTGACTAAGAGTGAGAACTTATTCCCCACTGTCTTCTCCATAACTCTCAACAGAGGAAATGCAGGAAGAGATGACAACACTCCTTCTGCAGGTGCCTGCCAGGATGGGGTGACCCAATGCACAGATGGCAGCCAAAACCCCCACAGTATTCTCAGCTCAGACCCCCCTTATCACCAAACACAGAAACAAACAAAACATATATACAATAAATCACCAAACTTTCATTAAAAGTTCTCATTTCTGTCTCTCTCCAGCATATGGGAAATTCAGCCATATGCCAAATCCAATATAAAATAGTATAGCAGAACCTGTGGTCCTATAAGGACACCTCCTCAAAACCAGTTTCACAGATGGACAATCACAGCCAAGGACTACACTGTTCAGTAACCACTCCTGACAAAGGCAGAAATCAGTCAACCAGTGGCTCCCAGCAGGCCCTGCAGCTGCCTCCCTAACGAGGTTGGGGTTGGACCCTGCCCTGTATGAGCCCCTCCCCACCACCATCACACTCAGCTCTCCAGAATTAGGGGGAAAAAATAAACAAGCAAAGGCCACCCCAAAGAAAACAAATCCTCAAAAAGCAAAACCCAACATTTTTCCTGACCCTGCTGCCTCCTGACAGCCAAGGCTGAGCTTTCTGTTCCTCAGCTTCCTCCTTACCCTTCTTTATTTCACCCTTTCAGAGCTAGGTTTTTATTGCATTCACCCACTAAAACAGATATGGAATCAGGAGGCTCTTTCAACAAAAACAAAAACAAAAAATACAACAAAGTCTTGCTTCCAGAGAAGTGCACTAATGCTGCCACCACACCTCTGTCACTCTGTCCCCTGTGTTTCCTGCATCTCATGTACCCTTTGCCAGCTCTCTTTCTTCTGCCAGTAAATACAGATATTCTTCTGGTCTTAGGCATGACCTCTGCTCCGGCATGCGTTGGGCTGCACCACTTACTAAGCAAACTCTCACCATCTGCACAACAGGCTAACAATCCTTAGAGAAGTGCCACAGGCAATCAATACAATAATCTACATAAAGCTCTGAGCACATGTCTGATATGTTGTGAACAAACAAAATATGCAGCAGTTAATTTTATGACTGTATTTACCTTGACAATAAGTTAAAATTCATCTCTTCTTCCATTGCTGTCTATATATATATATAATCAGACTGTCTCCTATACATCATGACCACAGACTAGATAATAAAGTTGGAGCAGTATCCCAGCCTAAGCTCTATATTCATGCCCCCACCAGGGGACACACCTGTGACCCAGGCTTAAAGCCCTATAATCTGCTAAAATGCTTCCTCCCTCACTTGGGCTGACTGGACCCAGCCCTGCATCTGCCTTCTTCATCTGGAATAGCTCCCCTCGCCTGACCTGGAATAGTCTTCCCTTGACCCAGAGTGGTTCCCCATTGACCCGGAATAGTCCCCCATCTACCTGAACTAGTCCTCTCATAGACCCAGAGTAGTCCCCCATTGATCAGGAGAAGTCTCCCCTTTGACCTGGAATAGGCCCCCTCCCAGGTCCCATTCTCTGCTGTTCAGCACAACCTGTGGTGGGGGAAGAGTATGGAGTAAGGATGACTAAAGGTCCTCAGAGTTGGTAACAGTTGGAGCCAGATGATATATACAGTAGCTTCGTTTACTTTTCTTTGTATATATTTTTAATATTTGAATTTTTAAATATTTTTTGAAAAGGATATTTTCTGCTTCCTGCTGATTACACTTAAACTGAGGCAAAATACAAAAGCATAAAAAATTAAGATCGCCAATATCCTTACAAGATGATCCTCTCTAAGATGAACCACAGAGGTAACAGAAAGTGCTCCCAGGCTGGGTGCAGTGGCTCACGCCTATAATCCCAGCACTTTTGGGAGGCCAAGGTGGGTGGACTGTTGAGCTTAGGGGTTCGAGACCAGCCCGGGCAACCTGGTGGGACCCCATCTCTATAAAAACTACAAAAATTAGCCAGCTATGGCGGTTCATGCATGTAGTACCAGCTACTTGGGAGGCTGAGGCAGGAGGTTGCTTGAGCCCAGTAGGTCAAGGCTGCAGTGAGTTGTGATCATGCCACTGCACTCCAGCCTGGGCAACAGAGTGAGACCTTGTCTCAAGAAAAATAAAAACTTTTTAAAAAGTGCTTCCAGAAGCCGGGTGCAGTGGCTCACACCTGTAATCCCAGCACTTTGGGAGGGTGAGGAGGCAGATCACTTGAGGTCAGGAGTTCGAGACCAGCCTGGCCAAGATGGTGAAACTCCATTTCTACTAAAAATACCAAAAATTAGTTGTGGTGGCAGGCGCCTGTAATCCCAGCTACTCCGGAGGCTAAGACAGGAGAATCGCTTGAACCAGAGAAGCGGAGGTTGCAGTGAGCCGAGATTGTGCCACTGCACTCCAGCCTGGGCAACGAGAGTGAAACTCCATCTCAAAAATAAAAAAAAAAAGGCCAAGCATGGTGGCTCAGGCCTACAATCCCAGCACTTTGGGAGGCCAAGGCTGGCAGATCACTTGAGGTCAGGAGTTTGAGACCAGCCTGGCCAAGATGGTGAAACGCCATCTCTACTTAAAATACCAAAAATTAGCTGGGCGTAGTGGCAGGTAACTGTAATCCGAGCTACTCAAGAGGCTAAGACAGAAGAATCCCTTGAATCCGGGAGGCAGAGGTTGCAGTGAGCTGAGATTGCACCATTGTACTCCAGCCTGGGCAACAAGAGCCAAACTCCGTTAAAAAAAAAAAAAAAAGAAAAGAAAAGAAAAAAGAAAAAGTGTTTCCAGGAGAGCTTGCTGGGACTGGCCTGGGCTCAGAAAGCATATGGCCTTGTGCTGCCCAGGCCCTGGCTCTATGACAGCAGTGAAGACAGGATGTCCCTGAGGCACTTTCAGGCTTCATTCTCCTTAATCCCTGACAAGCTTTGAGCCCCAGGACAAGTTTGGGTATGACAGGTAGTTTGCAGTGTGGGGTTCTCATGGGAGAATGGTGGGAAATGGTCACCTATGATTTGTCAGCCAAGAAATCATGGTAAACTGTAAGTTAAAAATGGCCCTTAAAATTTAGTGGTGCAATTTTAGCCATGAGAAAAATCGTGTTTCTCTAGCCTCACTAAAAGCACACCAGGCTTTGCTTGCCTGTGATTTCCTCTCTGCTGGCATCCCCAGGTGACCAGATGGCACATGAATTACTTTTCAAATGTGTATGCTTGACCACTCACTTATTCTCCCAGGCCCTATGATGTGCAAGACCCTGGCCTGGAGGTTATGGAAATACAGAAGCATGTGGCCCATGAGCCCAGCTTTTCAGAAGCTTGCATCTCCACAGACATGGATAATCTCACATCAGCCACAGGAAAATGGCTGTCCCTAAACCATTTCTGCCTGCTAGCCCCCAAAGCTCATTCCTAAATGATAACTAGCTGTGTCATGGACAGTGACTGAGCTCTGAATCTGACAGTGCGGGCAAGCAGTCTGGCTCCATTTGTTGGCTCTTCTCAAAGCTGTCTGTTAGCCAAACTAGTTACTAACCTACCTATGGGAGCAACAGGAAACCAACTCTGAGACAGGAGATTTGCCAAGATCAACCTCTAACCAAGAAGCCCACACCAAATCAACAGGTCCCACAAACCTCATGCAACCTACACTGTTATTTTAATGTTGATGTACAGGTCATAAAATTACAGTCTCCA